TCAGAAGAGGCCAACACTACCCAGTCATCATCCCCTGGCACGGGCGAGTTCTCCTGCCACACGGGGCAGGCAAAAAAAAACATTTAAAAAATAAGTTAATTACCGTCGGTGGCAAGCCATGAATTATGTGGCCAGATTTATTGCAGCTTTAGACCAAACTAGAAAAACGTCCAAGTTTCAAACTCAAACTTTCACGAAACTCATTTATCAGCTATCTTCACTCAATAAAATATATTGCAATGCTTTGTTTCTATTCCACTGTATATACACACACACACAAATATATATATATATATATATATATATATATATATATATATATATATATATATATATAGGGTTGCCTAATCCCGCTCTAAAAATATATAAACTTTCTGTAAAAGAAGTAATTTCGGTTTTAATTTTTTTTTAAATCCCTATAGCCTACTTTGAAACATCTAATGTCTTCCACAAAAGCTTTGGATCTAGAAAAAAAACGTACTACTACTAAAGTTAGGATCAATATTACATTACTCACGCTCACATACACACATACACGCATATATTCACATACACTCACACACACACATGCGCACAGACAGACAGTCACACACACACACACAGTCACACACACACACTGTTTTAACAGACACACTTAAGATCAGATTTTAACATTAAAATCTGACACGTCTGTGTAATGTAATAATTAATTATTAATTAACTCCTGAAATATTTTAATGAAGCGCCCATCCCCTCCAGCTTGTAAAATGAAAGAAATCTGATACAATCGTTTCAACCCTCACCCCCCCCCCCCCTCCATCTTAAACCAAAATACTTTTGCCCTACCTACAACACAAAGGTCAATGACCTGAGTCTAAAGACTACCTATACTCGGTACATTCCCCCACCCCCACCCCCACCCTAACTTAATCTCCGCGACTATCTGCCCCTGGTACTATAGACTGCAGGAATCTAATATAGATAGGTTGAGTGGGGTGGAATTGGGGGGGGGGGTGCGTGGGGAGGGGAATGAGGGGGGTGTATGCTCACTGTGATGAATCATCAGAAACAACAACATTAAAAAGAAACAAAATTCTTCAGTAGGGTAAGATGAGATACAGGTCATTGTTTACATCCGGGGTGGTAGCAGGGGTGATGTGAGGGGTGGGATCAGGGGAGGCGGGGGTCGTACCAGGGGTGGCGGGGGTGGAGTGGCACTTGGAGAGGTGTGAGGGGCGTTACCAGGCGACTTGTGAGGAGTTGCATCAGGGGAGGCAGGGGTGGGGTGGCACTAAAAGGTGTGAGGGGTGGTACCAGGGAACGCGCGAGGGGTGGCATCAGGGGAGGTGTGAGGGGTGGCACCAAAGTTTAGGGTAAAGTTAAGATTTAAAGTGACCTTTTGGTTGAGTCACGGTGTTTATGGGTGTTTAATCGCGGTGTTTATGGGCGTTTAGTCGCTGTGTTTATGGGTGTTTAATCGCTGTGTTTATGTACGATTAACCACTGAACAACACAATCTACAGGAGACACAACAATGCTAGGGTAAGGGACAAGATACGGTGTAATACAACCCCTCCCCCACCCCAAAGTCTGACCCAGGCACGTGATACGGTGTAATACAACCCCTCCCCCACCCCAAAGTCTGACCCAGGCACATGATACGGTGTAATACAACCCCTCCCCCACCCCAAAGTCTGACCCAGGCACATGATACGGTGTAATACAACCCCTCCCCCACCCCAAAGTCTGACCCAGGCACATGATACGGTGTAATACAACCCCTCCCCCACCCCAAAGTCTGACCCAGGCACGTGATACGGTGTAATACAACCCCTCCCCCACCCCAAAGTCTGACCCAGGCACATGATACGGTGTAATACAACCCCTCCCCCACCCCAAAGTCTGACCCAGGCACATGATACGGTGTAATACAACCCCTCCCCCACCCCAAAGTCTGACCCAGGCACATGATACGGTGTAATACAACCCCTCCCCCACCCCAAAGTCTGACCCAGGCACATGATACGGTGTAATACAACCCCTCCCCCACCCCAAAGTCTGACCCAGGCACGTGATACGGTGTAATACAACCCCTCCCCCACCCCAAAGTCTGACCCCAGTGCCAGAGATCCTTGTCAATACTGGCGTGATTTGACTTCTTGAAATGATTTTATACTGTCTGCTTCGCTAGTGTAGGCTTGACGTAATTAGCTACGGGGAGGTGGGGGAAAGAGGGGGGGGGGGAGCGGTGATAAAAATGGGGATATAGCCATTTAATACCGAGGCATGTGTAAAGTAAAGAAAGACATGAAACAATGACAAAACTAGATAAGTTGGTGAAATAGAAGAAACAATGACAAAACTAGAAAAGTTGGTGAAATATAAGGGCGGGGAGTACCTATTTTAATACCTAGGTTTGTGTAAAGATGGCTATGAAACAATGACAAAACTAGATAAGTTAGTGCAATATAAGGATGTGAATGAATCTATGATCAAGCTAGACTTAGGGAAAAGCTAAGGTTGGATGTGCAAAGCAACTATGGCAACGATCACCCTTTGGGTATTTTCCCTTTCCCTCGTTAACTTTTGATTTAGCCGAGAGTTGCTGCCCTTTTGGTGCTAGTTTTTTCCTTGATTTAATGTCATGAGTTGGTGGTGGTATTTGGTGGTAGTTGGGTTTTGCTAAGAGTGGTAGGTATCTAGTTGGACTGTGGTTGTCTCGATGTAGAATGTGGTTATTGGCTTTATGCGGAATGTGGTTGTTGTCTGTGTAATGTGGTTGTTGTCTGTGTAATGTGGTTGTTGTCTGTGTAATGTGGTTGTTGTCCGTGTAATGTGGTTGTTGTCTGTGTAATGTGGTTGTTGTCTCTGTGTGGTTGTTGTCTTAACGTGGAATGTGGTTATCACCATAACATGTGGTAGGTTCGCTTTTTTGCTGTGGAGCCGTTTTTATTTTTTGAGGAATGTGGTTGGTGTTTGCTAACGAGTTAATTTTTTATTTAAAAAAATTTCAACGACATTCATGCAGTTTGCTTTGAAAGATGTTCTTGTTTACGTTTTTGTGAAATTTACCCGTTTTTAGCGGTGGGAGTGGGTGTTAGGTTTTTAAAAAAAAAATTCTTTTGATGAAATATGTCTGAAGATAAGGATGCCCCGGCCTTGACCTCTCGTGGCTTTATGGAAAGGTCAGCCACTTCTAGTCGCGTAGACTCAAAGTGGTGAGGTTAAAAAAAAATGCTGCAAAAATATTGAATTCCACGAGAGTTTGGTTCCAGGGATTGTGTGGGTATTGGAGGCAGCAAAAGTAAGGTAGCAATGATGGTGAAAAGTTAAGGTAGCAATGATGATGAAAAGTTGAGGTAGCAATGATGGTGAAAAGTTAAGGTAGCAATGATGATGAAAAGTTGAGGTAGCAATGATGGTGAAAATTTAAGGTAGCAATGATGATGAAAAGTTGAGGTAGCAATGATGGTGAAAAGTTAAGGTAGCAATGATGATGAAAAGTTGAGGTAGCAATGATGGTGAAAAGTTAAGGTAGCAATGATGATGAAAAGTTGAGGTAGCAATGATGGTGAAAAGTTAAGGTAGCAATGATGGTGAAAAGTTGAGGTAGCAATGATGGTGAAAAGTTAAGGTAGCAATGTTGGTGAAAAGTTGAGGTAGCAATGATGGTGAAAAGTTAAGGTAGCAATGATGGTGAAAAGTTAAGGTAGCAATGATGGTGAAAAGTTGAGGTAGCAATGATGGTGAAAAGTTAAGGTAGCAATGTTGGTGAAAAGTTGAGGTAGCAATGATGGTGAAAAGTTGAGGTAGCAATGATTGTGTGGAATATGAGGTAATCATGATTGTGTGGTAAATTAGGGTAGCAATTATTGTGTAAAAGGTTGAGTTAGCAATAATGGTGTATAAAGTTGAGGTAGCAATAATTTTATGAAAAGCTGAGGTAGAAATTACTGTGTGAAATGGTTAATGTAGCAATGAATGTGTGAAATAGTTGAGGTAGCAACAGTGGCGTAGCGAGGTCGGGTGTCACCTGGTGCGGCACCCCCCTGAGGCGTAGCGACCCTTCCAGGGGACAAACTTTCAAGTTTTCGATTTGCAACCCCCCCCTCAAACTTTCGATTTGCACCCCCCCTCAAGTTTTTCTCTATATATTTTGCTATTTTTTGCCTTGGTGTCACCCCCTAAATGATGTCACCCGGTCCGCACCCCCCCCCCCTTCGTTACGTCCCTGTGTAGCAATGAATGTGTTCTGTGTTGGATTAGTGAATTAAAAATCACCCACTGATGTGCCGGCTTTTTGCATCAAACGGCGCAGTGAAATCTCTAAACAAATGCTATTTAGTTTGGGGGTGGGAGGGGGAGGGGGGGGGGGGCAATGCCCAACGTAGCACAGCCCCTCCCCTACCCTCCATACTAAGGGAGATGCCTGTAAAAAAAACTCTGGTACTACGGAAAAAACCAACAACGGCTGTTATCCAAAAATCCAATGTTCCCCATCACAGGTGAACAAGTGTAACAAAATGTTTTATGGATTTGTTTTGTGCTTATTTTGTGCTTATTTTGTGATAATTTTGTTATTATTTTGTGTTTATTTCAGATGGATCGTAGTTTGTAGGTCTAGCTATTAATGTAGCAACATATTGTCTGCTGATATAGTACCCACTTTCGGTATGTAGCACCTGGATGTAGCGATGTCGAATCACGACTCTTTGTAGCAGTGTAGTGTAGCCACAGTATGTAGCAATATGTAGCAGTGTAATGTAGCCACTGTATATAGCAATGTGTAGCGGTGTAGTGTAGCCACAGTATATAGCAATATGTAGCAGTGTAGTGTAGCAACTCTTAAATGTCAATGTCGTATAAAAATCTATGTAGCGAGAGCTAAACCGTAAGCACTCTGATTTCGTAAGGCAATTTTTTTTAAAAATAATGTACTTACCCTAATTAGATGAAGATAATATCCAATTAGTCCATAACTTCAAAGCAGCCAATGTCAAGGTCGCTGCTATTTTAAAAAAAAAAATAACAATTCCTTCTCCCCAGAAGAGATAAATCCGTGAGTGACGTCACTCTAGCGATCCTTCCATGGGCGTGACGTCACCGTAACGAGCCTGTCGCGACGTCACTCAGACGAACCGTGCGTGTGACGTAGGCGGCGTGACGTCACCCTAGTGCAGACGTGTGGGTGCGACCAGGTGTGGACCAAGCCGGTGGCAGCAGACGACGAGCAAGTGACGCTCCATGCACAGGTGCAGTGGGGGGTCAGAGGTCGGTCGGTGCAGTCAGCGGACAAGCACCGTGTCACGTGACATAGTTTTTGTTAATCCCGCGCTACCCAGGGGTTCGCCGAGTTCCGGCTGTTAGAAATTCCTCCCCCGGGTGTTCCTGTCAGAAAACAATTCCGTTATCAACAAAAACACATTTTAAAAAAAATTTAAAATATTTCCAAAACATTTAAAAAAAATAATTTTACATATTCACATGCACTAATTGTAGAAAACGAATAATTAAAAAAATAAATAAAATTTCAAAGCTTAAAATGTTTGGCAGTGGAAAGTCTACGTTTAAAACTAACAAGCTACTAAAAGATGTAGTGAGCGGAAAAAAGTCACAGAAAAAAAGTCACAGGAAAAAGTCACAGAAGAAAGTCACAGAAAAAATGTAACAATGGAAAAGGTTAGGGTTAGAGCTTCGTTAACTTGTTGACAGTGGAGTAGTATTAAAAATAAGCTGATACCTTTTTTACTGACATCATAAAACAGCTAGCCCAGTCATCTCCTAGTATATATATATATATATATATATATATATATATATATATATATATATATATATATATATATATATATATATATATATAACTCCACATGAACATATTTTTAAACTATTATTTTCAAAACATACCAAATGTGACGTCACATTTCTCAACCCTCCGAAATCCCGCAGAGTCATTAAAGTCAGACCCCTAGCTCCCCATTCTCGGGTGGGTGGGCTCACCACCCCCACCCCACCCCTCCTTCCCAATGCATAACCAAAGGCCAGAACTGAGCCCGCCATGCCGACTATTGACAAGCACCACTTGCACATACTTACAGAGTAATTAACCTCTGCACCCATGACGTCATCAAATGAGGGTTTGCAATAGGGGTGGGGTGGGATGGGTGAGGACAAGTAGGGTCGATTGGGTGCAGGAAATAAAACATCGAACACACACACAGACACTTACACACATACTTACATACACAATTACACACACACTTACACACTTACACACAATTACACACACACTTATACATACACACTTACATACAGACACTCGTACTTACAAATGCACACAAACTCGCAAACTCAAACGCACAAACACCCACGACCACACACATTCACCACACAACACATACAAACACTACTCACACACATATACTTACACACACTCTTACACACACACACCTATACATACACACTTACACTCGCACTTACATTTACACATCCACACAAACAGACAAACACGCAAACACCCCCCCCCCCACTCACACACATTCACCAGATAACAACACATATAAACACTACTTACACGCACACGTACATACAAACGCACACACACAAAACAACTAAGGATAAAAGAAGCACCACGTACAAGGTACGGCTAATCTAATTTCTACATGAATGTAAAAAAATCTTCGAGAATAATAAATCCATCTCATTTACATCAAGTGTGTGAAATCATACAAAAAATATGTGAATATCATTAGTGGACTATCACACATTGGGGGAGAAGAGAGAGTGGGGAAAGGGGGGGGGGGGTGATCAAAGATTTATACACCAGGTTTACTTCTCAAGTAATGTAGTATGTAAGCTTTATGGGTATAAAGTAATAAGCTCCTGGGTGTAATTGAGTAATGAGTACAGGGAAGATGAAGAAGAGCGCATCTGCTTATCTGAAAACGTTAAATATATAGGCCTCTCTCTCTCTCTCTCTCTCCCTCTCTCTCTATATATATATAGAGTACCACTAAATTGAACGTTGTCATTGCCCTTCCCGGCACGTGTTTCTGCTCACACAGCTGACTAACAACACGTGCAGTGTGTACATGGTAAGGTGAGCCCCCAGGTATATACCATTTCTATACAGCGGCTCAATCGCATTGACACTACCTGGTATATGTATTTATGTATTTGTATAATAATACTAATAGGCGTATACATGTATATGTTCTCTCTCTCTTTCTCTCTCTCTCTCTATGCATACACACAAAAACATACACACACACACACACACACACACACACACACATATATATATATATATATATATATATATATATATATATATATATATATATATATATATATATATATATATATATATATATATATATATATATATATATATGTATGTATGTGTGTGTGTGTGTATATATGTATATATATGAGTATATATGAGTATATATATATGTATATATATGAGTATATATAAGTATATATATATATATATATATATATATATATATATATATATATATATATATATATATATATATATATATATATATATAATGACTGTCATAGATGTGTCACCTATTTGTAGCTAAATGTGAGATTTCAGTCACATGATGTTTAATTCAGGTGACACAAACTCTACTCTCCTGTGTCACAAAGTGACTTCCGTGCTAGCATTGAGAAATTAAATAGTGACGTGTCACGTGGGATGATTGACTGTCGCTAAAGCGTTCAATACTGATGCTATTTTAAATTTAATTCACGAATTACTCAAGTTGTTGACGTCTGTGACTTAAGTCATTGATGCCAGGGGCTTCAGTCATTGCTTGATGCCAAAGACTTAAGTCACTGACGCCGTTGACTCCAGTGACGGCCTGACGCCTTACACTAACCACACCAACACGAGAAAAGATGAGATTCAAACCACGAGAAGCTGACGGATTCTCTGACACGCCGGGTGGGAGAAAGGGGGAAAAATCAATCAAAGAGGAGGTAAGACTGCTAGGTATATTCGATACCGAGATATCGATCCCTTGAGATCGATACCGGCTGGTCGATACTTGTGACCAGAGATGCGCAACACGCCAGTACGTCGTGATGGTAGATTTGTAGGCAGTGTAGTGGCGTAGTAGAGGTCAGTGTAGTGACGTAGTAGTAGCCAGTGTAGTGGCGTAGTAGTGGGCAATGTAGTGGCCAGTGTAGTGGCGTAGTAGTGACCAGTGTAGTGGTGTAGTAGAGGCCAGTGTAGTAGCGTAGTAGTGGTCAGTGTAGTGGCGTAGTAGTGACCAGTGTAGTGGCGTAGTAGTGACCAGTGTAGTGGCGTAGTAGTGGCCAACTAGTGGTTAGTGTAGTGGCGTAGTGGCGTCCAGCTAGCTGTTAGTGGCGTAATTATATCCAATTAGTGGCCTGTATAGTGGCTGGGCTCACATGGGCACAGATAAAGGGAGCAGCCCAAAACAGAGTCCGATGGAGATGTGTAGTTGCAGCCCATTGCTCCCCAGGGGCCACAAAGGTATGATGATGATGATGTAGTGGCGTTCAGCTAGTGGTCAGTTAGTGGCGTCCAGTTTGGTTAGTGGCGTAGTAGTATCTATTCAGTGGTCAGTGTAGTGACGTCCAGCTACTGGTCAGTTAGTGGCGTCCAGTTAGTGGTTAGTGGCGTAGCAATGTCCACTCAGTGGTCAGTGTAGTGGAGGGTTCACCATCCGTGTGGTGGATGTTTGCCACCGCTCTGTGGTGGAACTTTCTGCCACTAATTTTGGTGGATTGACCAGCCATTTTAACTAGTGACCCTGAAAATTTGGGCTTGCTCGATAGGATGACTACAACAAAATACACCATCAGCTAAATACCATCAACAAAATACACCATCAGCTAAATACTACATCAAATAAATCACCTTAACAGCATACGCAACGAAACATACGAATTCTGCAAACTACACAACTTCAGTAAAATACAAGCATATAGTAAAATTCACGCATTCAGTAAAGTACACGAATTCCGTAAAATAAACACATTTAGTAACATACACTTATTTAGAAAAATAATATATTAGTAAAATATACGCATTCAGTAACATACACGCTTTCAGTAAAAACCACGTATTCAATAAAATACACCCATCCAGTAAACTACACGCAATCGTGTAAACTGACCAGCTGTCTCTCTGTCCCGGCCATAACACTTAGCTTTTCCTTAGCCGGCCATTTCCCCATGGCGCTATTTTAACCCCCTGGCCACAGCTGACGTAGGAATGAAAGGGTTAAACCAGTTATCTAACGCCATACAAACCTGGACCAACGGGTACCACACTGCTCCGATATCCCCTCGAAAAAACGTTTGATAAATCCGATAGAGAAAAGAAAACGCGCGGACGACTAAGAAGACTAAATGTGTTAAAGCACAACAAACACTTGTACCAGTGGTGCGAGCCGAGGCGCAAACTCTCGCGTCAAATACTCGCAGTGCTCTGCAAGCTTCGAGCATCGAGGGAGGGGGGAGGGACGGGGGGGAGGGAGAGAGGGAGGGGGGTGCCGGCGGTCTCCAGGCGGAGAGAGGCAAGTTTGTTGCCAGGATTGTTTTCTGCTGAAAGATGGCCGCCGTGCCGTGCCGATGATGGAATCGAATTGGGGAAAACAATGGCGGACCCTGGGTGGACGGTGGGGTGTGTCGGGGTGGGGGATGGGGAGGGGGGGGGGGTCATGAATTTCGGCGTGTGACGGGAACCACTGTGACGTGAGCCATTGTGACAGGAGCCACTATGACAGGAGCCACTTTGTGACAGGAGGCACTGTGTGACAGGAGCCATTGTGACAGGAGCCACTGTGACAGGAGCCACTGTGACAGGAGCCATGGTGTGACAGAAGCCATGGTGTGACAGGAGCCATGATGTGACAGGAGCCATGGTGTGACAGAAGCCATGGTGTGACAGGAGCCACTGTGACAGGAGCCATTGTGACAGGAGCCAATGTGACAGGAGCCACTGTGACAGGAGCCATGGTGTGACAGGAGCCATGGTGTGACAGGAGCCATGATGTGACAGGAGCCATGGTGTGACAGGAGCCATGGTGTGACAGGAGCCACTGTGACAGGAGCCATGATGTGACAGGAGCCATGGTGTGACAGGAGCCACTGTGACAGGAGCCATGATGTGACAGGAGCCACTGTGTGACAGGAGCCATGGTGTGACAGGAGCCATGGTGTGACAGGAGCCATGGTGTGACAGGAGCCACTGTGACAGGAGCCACTGTGACAGGAGACACTGTGACAGGAGCCACTGTGACAGGAGCCATGGTGTGACAGGAGCAACTGTGACAGGAGCCACTGTGTGACAGGAGCCAGTGTGTGACATGAGCCATGATGTGACAGGAGCCATGGTGTGACAGGAGCCATGGTGTGACAGGAGCCACTGTGACATGAGCCACTGTAACAGGAGCCATGGTGTGACAGGAGCCACTATGTGACAGGAGCCACTGTGACAGGAGCCACTGTGACAGGAGCCACTGTGACAGGAGCCACTGTGACAGGAGCCATGGTGTGACAGAAGCCATGGTGTGACAGAAGCCATGGTGTGACAGGAGCCATGATGTGACAGGAGCCATGGTGTGACAGAAGCCATGGTGTGACAGGAGCCACTGTGACAGGAGCCATTGTGACAGGAGCCAATGTGACAGGAGCCACTGTGACAGGAGCCATGGTGTGACAGAAGCCATGGTGTGACAGGAGCCATGATGTGACAGGAGCCATGGTGTGACAGGAGCCATGGTGTGACAGGAGCCACTGTGACAGGAGCCATGATGTGACAGGAGCCATGGTGTGACAGGAGCCACTGTGACAGGAGCCATGATGTGACAGGAGCCACTGTGTGACAGGAGCCATGGTGTGACAGGAGCCATGGTGTGACAGGAGCCATGGTGTGACAGGAGCCACTGTGACAGGAGCCACTGTGACAGGAGACACTGTGACAGGAGCCATGGTGTGACAGGAGCCATGGTGTGACTGGAGCCACTGTGACATGAGCCACTGTGACATGAGCCATGGTGTGACAGGAGCCACTGTGACAGGAGCCATAGTGTGACAGGAGCCATTGTGACAGGAGCCAGTGTGTGACATGAGCCATGATGTGACAGGAGCCATGGTGTGACAGGAGCCATGGTGTGACAGGAGCCACTGTGACATGAGCCACTGTAACAGGAGCCATGGTGTGACAGGAGCCACTGTGTGACAGGAGCCACTGTGACAGGAGCCACTGTGACAGGAGCCACTGTGACAGGAGCCATTGTGACAGGAGCCACTGTGACAGGAGCCACTGTGACAGGAGCCATGGTGTGACAGAAGCCATGGTGTGACAGGAGCCATGATGTGACAGGAGCCATGGTGTGACAGGAGCCATGGTGTGACAGGAGTCACTGTGACAGGAGCCATGATGTGACAGAAGCCATGGTGTGACAGGAGCCACTGTGACAGGAGCCAGTGTGTGACATGAGCCATGATGTGACAGGAGCCGCTGTGACAGGAGCCATGATGTGACAGGAGCCACTGTGTGACAGGAGCCATGGTGTGACAGGAGCCATGGTGTGACAGGAGCCACTGTGACATGAGCCACTGTAACAGGAGCCATGGTGTGACAGGAGCCACTGTGTGACAGGAGCCACTGTGACAGGAGCCACTGTGACAGGAGCCACTGTGACAGGAGCCATTGTGACAGGAGCCACTGTGACAGGAGCCACTGTGACAGGAGCCATGGTGTGACAGAAGCCATGGTGTGACAGGAGCCATGATGTGACAGGAGCCATGGTGTGACAGGAGCCATGGTGTGACAGGAGTCACTGTGACAGGAGCCATGATGTGACAGGAGCCATGGTGTGACAGGAGCCACTGTGACAGGAGCCAGTGTGTGACATGAGCCATGATGGTACAGGAGCCGCTGTGACAGGAGCCATTGTGACAGGAGCCACTGTGACAGGAGCCACTGTGACAGGAGCATGGTGTGACAGGAGCCATGATGTGACAGGAGCCATGGTGTGACAGGAGCCATGGTGTGACAGGAGCCACTGTAATAAGTTTTTGTTAGGTACTCCAGGTTTCCAGAAAACATATCACAAAACTAAAAATAGTGTCAATGACCCTACGAGTTGTAAGAGCTTTGTTACCTAGGTAAGATCATACTTGATCTAGTAGCCATCGTGTAGGTCTGACAGGGATTTTTATGCTACTAATATTGGGATTGTTCTATGTGATATGTGTGTATTTTATGTGATATGTGATGTTCGTTTTAATGTTTTAATTGATTTTATATATGGTGTTTGTGTTAATTATGATATGAGATGTTAATGTTAGTATGTGATTGTATTAATGTTTATGGGATGTTTGTGTTAATTGTGTATGCATTGTTTTCGTGTGAAGGTTTTTTTTTGTGATGTTGATGTCAATGCTTGTATAAGATGTGTGTGCTAATGTTTGTATGCAGAGTTGCTTCCAGGCATGTCTTCGGGGGGGGGGGGCGAAGCCCCCCCGAAAATTTTTTACCGCCCCCCCGAACGAAATGAAATTTATATAATTTATATAGAAAATATATACTTTTAACAGTGTCCGCCCCCCCGAAGAAAGTTTACCGCCCCCCCCCCGAAAATTTCAAGTGCCCCCCCCCCCGGAGAAAAAAGTCTGGAAGAAACACTGTTTGTATGTGATGCTTAAATGTGAGGTTTTCGTATGTTTGTATGTTATGTTAATTTTTACCTGCAATGATTATATGAAGTGATGTTTAAGTTGATATTTGCATGTGATGATTATATGTGATGTTCAAGTAGATATTTGTATGTGATGCTTATATGAGATGTTCGAATATATATTTGTATGTGATGCTAAATGTGATGTTCGAGTAGATATTTGTATGTGATGCTTATATGTGATGTTTGAGTAGATATTTGTATGTGATGAGTATATGTTATGTTTGAGTACACATTTGTACGTGATGCTTATCTGTGATGTTCGAGTAGATATTTGTATGTGATGCTTTTATGTGATGTTTGAGTAAATATTTGTATGTGACGCTTATATGTGATGTTCGAGTAGATATTTGTATGTGATGCTTATATGTGATGTTTGAGTAGATATTTGTACGTGATGTTTATATGTGATGTTTGAGTTGATATTTGTATGTGATGCTTTATGTGATGTTTGAGTTGATATTTGTATGTGATGCTTATATGATGTTTGAGTTGATATTTGTATGTGATGCTAATCTGTGATATTTGAGTGAATATTTGTATGTGATGCTTATATGTGATGTTTGAGTTGATATTTGCATGTGATGCTTATATGTGATATTTGATTAGATATTTGTATGTGATGCTAATCTGTGATATTTGAGTGAATATTTGTATGTGATGCTTATGTGTGATGTTTGAGTACATATTTGTATGTGATGCTTATCGGTGATGTTTGAGTAGATATTTGTACGTGATGTTTATATGTGATGTTCGAGTTGATATTTGCATGTGATGCTTATATGTGATGTTTGAGTAGATACTTGTATGTTATGCTTATATGTGATGTTTTAGTAGATACTTGTATGTGATGTTTGAGTTTATATGTGCATGTGATGCTTATATGTGATGTTGGTATGTGATATTTTTGTGTTCGCCACACCGAGGTGATAAAAAAAAAAGCACGGAATGTAATCATAGCCGAGCTGTTGCTGCGGGTACATGTTCCTAGCGAGAGCTGGACATCCCTATGGGTGTTAAATTGGTTTATTCCAAATGGATTATCGATTCGTCAAAAGGGGTCGGTCGATTCAACGAAGGGGGTAGGGCAGGGGTGCGAGTGTGATAGGCTGTGATACCGGGGGGGGGTGACTTGATGTGTTGGGACGGGACTGGTGTTAGGGCTGGGGGTTAAAAACGATATAGAAACATGAAGAGAATTTGATGTGGGGTGGGAGATATTAGGGAGGGGGGAGGGGCTGGGGGGGGGGGGGGGGTGAGCACGTGAATCAATAGCCACCAAATCCTATGTCACACCGTTGCCATAATTTGAAGGTTTAGGGTAGCCATCATGAGTAGATTTAAGGTAGCCATCATGAGTAGATTTAAGGTAGCTATCATGAGTAGGTTTAAGCTAGCCATCATGAGTAGGTTTAAGGTAGCCATCATATGTAGGTTTAGGGTAGCCATCATGAGTAGGTTTAAGGTAGACATCATGAGTAGGTTTAAGGTAGCCATTATGTGTAGGTTTAGGGTAGCCATCACACCTAGGTTTAAGGTAGCCACCATGAGTACGTTTAAGGTAGCCATCATGAGTAGATTTAAGGTAGCTATCATGAGTAGGTTTAAGGTAGCCATCATATGTAGGTTTAGGGTAGCCATCATGAGTAGGTTTAAGGTAGACATCATGAGTAGGTTTAAGGTAGCCATTATGTGTAGGTT